CATCACGGTCAAATTGAATATTTTGCTTAAGATAGAAACAAGTGCCTTTTATCACCAACTAATGTTCATAATGTACCGATGATGAAAGTTACTTGATGAAAAAGATAGACAGAAAAATATCATAAAACCATCTCGTGGGAGTTTAATTTTCTTATTCTTCTGTATTCCTTCCTTTGAAGGAAGGGTTGGAATGAGTAGGTATCTTCATTTCTTTTTGTAAAATGTGATTTAGTAAAGGTAGATATATACAATAATACAATGCTATATAAATTAATAAAAAGGGGAACATCACTCATATTAAAATGGAGAAAATAAAAGTTTCCATCACATAAAGAAGAATAAAACGTTGGGACCTATATTTTGCGGGAGCTCGTGCACAATTATAATAACAAAAGAAAAAAAGAACAGTGTGCCGGTAGTTTGAATGAAAGAAGAGGGATTAAACTATGAGAAGCATCTTGGGAGGAGCCAACCACGTACATAGTGCTGAACAAAATATATAGAAACTTTAAGTAGGTCAAAAGAAAGCTGGTTCTAACCAACTGGTGGGATCATCACTTAATTAGCTCTTCTATATTATCATCACTTAGTTATTTTTTATGGTTGGAGGTCCTTCCTCTCTATTTTGTTGACAACTTGACATGACATAGAGGTAGAGCCAAATGTGTCAACACCAAAAATTATTGGGGGTTTGCAGCAGCTGCAGCCAGAGACTTTGAAACATTTGACAATTTATTGGACAATGTCAATGAGGTAAAAGTACGTGTGCCACCGTGATTGATATATATATATATATAGCTAGAGAGGATTAATCATGGGAGATATCAATGAGGAGGACCTGGAGGAGGGTGCTACTTGTTGCCTTTTTACAAGTCTCAATAAATTTCCGTACATAACTCAGCTGCAGGTTTGGGTACGGGACCCGGCCGGACAACTGTAATTGACAAGATGAATGCCATGCTAGTCACTATCTCTTGACGATTGAATGTATCAAAATCTGAAGAGATACACTTAATTATTGGGACAACTGCTCATGGATAGCTCAAATTAATGTTGTAGGGGTATATTCATAATTCATTGAGAAGTAGTTTTCACTCTTCAATCAACACATTGTTCAATGGCGGATTTAAAAATTTGCTTCCGTGAGATCATGGTTTAGTGGGTAATTTGTTAAACATATTTACATTTGATCCTGTTGTGAGCAGAGAACATTCATAGAATGAGGTTTTTTAACTTTAATCCTTCAAAAAGATTGAAATTTAAAATAAACGTAGTGTTAGATTACATATTGATTATAGTTCCTTGATATGTCCTTAATTCAAAATAATTAATGTGCATTTTATTTAATGTCTCCCATTAATATACAAATTTTAATTTATTTTTTTACCCAAAAAAAAAGTTTTTTTTTTAATTTATTAATTTTATTTAACATTCTTCAAACTTGAAAGACTCAATTAATGTACCTAAATGTTAGTATCGAAATTTATTATATTGAACTAATGTATTTAAATGTTAGAACTGAAATGTATGTACTGAAATATACGCACCAAAATGTATTATATTGAATTAATGCACCTAAATGTGTGTACCAAAATGCATGCACCGAAATGTATTATATTGAATTAATGTACCAAAATGTGTGTACTGAAATGTATTATATTGGATTAATGTACCTAAATGTTTGTATCGAAATGTATGTACTGAAATGTGTGTACCTAAATGTATGCACTGAAAATGTATTATAATGAATTTAATGTACCTAAATGAAGAAGACAAAGTACATCGAAATATATTGTATAACAAAAATTAGTTTGTCTAAATGTTTACAACAAAATATATTACGAGAAATGAAATGATATAATTTATAATGAAATAAAGTTAATATATTAAAATTAGGAAGAAAAAAGAGAAATAATTAAAAAATCAAAATGTTATTAATAAATAAGGTTATTAATGTATCAAGGTGCTAAAATTATATTTTGATCTTACTCATGGTTTTAGTCTAAAAGTCATCTTTGCCAAGGATTAGAATGAAGTTTTCTATCATAGAATTTAATCACTAAATTGTATAATGAACAAGAGCAAACTTTCTTTGAGAGTTCATCAAACTACCCCTTACTGTTATTAGTATGTGGATATGTTGTCATTTGTAATGAAGTAATAAAGTCACATTTACTGTGACATCCTATATTGCCCAGAGGAGTGATCCTTGTATGTATATTCTCATCCCTACCTAGCACGAGGCCTTTTGGGAGCTCACTGGTTTCGGGTTCTATGGGAACTCCGAAGTTAAGCGAGTAGCACGCGAGAGCATTCCTAGGATGGGTTACCTATCGGGAAGTTCTCGTGTGAGTTCCCAAAAACAAAACCATGAGGGCGTGGTTGGGGCCCAAAGTGGACAATATCGTGCTACGGTGATGGAGTGGGCCCGGGAAATGATCCGCCCCGGGCGGGGATGTGATAATTTGGTATCAAAGCCTAACCCTGGTCGCATGTGTGCCGACGAGGATGTCAAGCCCCTAAGGGGGGTGGATTATGACATCCCACATCACCCAAAGGAGTGATCCTTATATGTATATTCCCATCCCTACCTAGAACGAGGCCTTTTGGGAGCTCACTGGCTTCGGGTTCTATGGGAACTCCGAAGTTAAGCGAGTAGCGCGCGAGAGCATTCCCAGGATGGGTGACCCATCGGGAAGTTCTCGTGTGAGTTCCCAAAAACAAAACCGTAAGGGCGTGGTTGGGGCCCAAAGCGGACAATATCGTGTTACGGTGGAGTCGGGCCCTGGAAGTGATCTGCCCCGGGCCGGGATGTGACAATTGGTATCAGAGCATAACCCTGGTCGTGTGTGTGCCGACGAGGATGTTGGGCCCCTAAGGGGGGTGGATTGTGACATCCCACATCGCCCAGGGGAGTGATCCTTATATGTATATTCCCATCCCTACCTAGCACGAGGCCTTTTGGGAGTTCACTGGCTTCGGGTTCCATGGGAACTCCGAAGTTAAGCGAGTAGTGCGCGAGAGCATTCCCAGGATGGGTGATCCATCGGGAAGTTCTCGTGTGCGTTCCCCAAAAACAAAACCGTGAGGGCGTGGTTGGGGCCCAAAGCGGACAATATCGTGCTACAGAGGAGTCGGGGCCGAGAAGTGATCCACCCCGGGCCAGGATGTGACAATTTGGTATCAGAGCCTAACCTTGGTCGCGTGTGTGCCGATAAGGACAGTCGGGCCCCTAAAGGGGGTGGATTGTGACATCCCACATCGCCCAGGGGAGTGATCCTTATATGTATATTCTCATCCCTACCTAGCACGAGGCCTTTTGGGAGCTCATTGGCTTCGGGTTCCATGGGAACTCCGAAGTTAAGCGAGGAGCGTGAGAGAGCATTCCCAGGATGGGTGACCCATCAGGAAGTTCTCGTGTGAGTTCCCAAAAACAAAATCGTGATGACGTGGTTGGGACCCAAAACGAACAATATCATGCTACGGTGGTGGAGCGGGCCCGAAAAGTGATATGCTCCGGACGGGGATGTGACATTTACAAAATTTTCAAAATAAGTATTACAGCGTAAATTAGAATGTTTATTCATGATAAGTGAAACCGTATGTAAATTCAAACTTAGTATGACAAAATAGCATTAACATGTATATCATGCATGCATCTTAAAACAAAAGTTGTAGTAAAGATGCATGAGAGATATGTGAGATATCTGGCAGAAAAATGTCGGTTCCTCCGTACATGGAGATCGAAGCCGGTGAAGAAATAAAAAGAAATTAAAGAATCATACGAACACCCACGTGTTATTAGGACCTACAAGGATTTTCAGTTAACATGGCTTATCAACCATCAGAAGACTGAAGAGCCAGATAGTACTACTCTACTCTAGTGGGAGAGAGAGAGAGAGAGAGAGAGAGAGAGTAATGTACGTAGTATTTGATTAGTCGCTCTCTTCAGAGGAGGGGCTCAACTTGATATGGCTGTCTATCTATATATGACAATTGGGCAGTTTAGATCCTATAGGAGACGATCACATTCACATATTAAAAGTTCACTTTGGATCGATCTGTCTCCAGCCGAAAACAAATATATTTTCATTTGCATTCAGCAGTATTATGTAATCTATTCAAGGGAAAATGCTTTAGGGAGTCATGAATTTGATGTTTGTTTACTACATACGATGGATGATCAGTAAATTCAAATAGGAACGTTTCATAATCTAAAGTATAAACAGTCTTTTTTACGTTTTAATTACATAACAATGATGATGATCCTTACATCAGAGACACGTAAAACGTCCGAATGTGAAACTCCATTGAATATATCTATACACAGAGTGAAAAGAAACCCTAAACACTAAACTTGAAACCCTAAAAGGTATATTTGAAATTTTGAACATGATGACAGTAGAAGATTGAAATTTGAAAGAAACATGGCGCTTAGAAGTAGTACTGGCTAGTACTTCCATAAGTAAAGGAGACAGTGCGAAAGAAAGGAGATGAAGTTGAAGTTCCAATAAAGCATTAATTTCTTATTTGGATGTAACTGAGTTTGTATCCCTCAAGTACTACCCATCGATCCCTTCCAATTCCATGTTCTATCTGCCAGAGAGGTAAGATAGCAAGGTACCACGGACATTTTGGTACAAGGCATCACGATAAGATTATTTATGGGATCAATAATTTATCCTCTAGCCCTCACTCCTCAATATTAATATTCAAACTTTTAAATTGCACTCCAAGTCAATTAAACTCTACGGCTGGAATGCTATATAAAATATAAAATGAAGTAAAACTAAAGATTTTACCGCAAAATAACACTTTCTATTTCATAACTAACACCAATGATGAGCCAAGGATCAACCCATTGGCTAGGAATTTATACAGGAGTGGGCTAATTTATTTTTCGTGTAGTATGGAGCGAGATTTAGGTGTTTGCTGTAGGCTAAACTTCTTTTTTATGCATCTATCTTGGCATACAATCTCTTCTTTAGAGTCAATCGGTACCGGTCCTCCTTTGAATCAATGTTGAGAATAGTTACCATTCAAAAACGCCAAAAGCTCCTCTAAAAAAATATTTTCTCCCCTCCTAATGATCAATACAAATTTTTTAGAGATCATACGGCGGTTTCGTAGCACCCTCCTCCAACATTCTACAGCTGCATTTTTTTTTATGAATTAAAAAAAGCTCACTTGGTCGTATGGTACGCAGCTATGTACCTAAGAATGTTCCAAGAGGGTCACAAATAACATTCGACCCAATATTAAAAATATCACTCCCACACATCCACAAACTTCCCGCACGTACCTCTTCAAATCCCACCACCTATATAAACCCTCCTACTCCCTACCCATCTTCATCATCATCATCCACAACACAAGTCAATTTCTTAATCTTCTAAAAGCACTTCTAGCCAGTACTTAGCTAAGAATCTATAAGCTAAAATCCTTACCTATATTTTCAGCACGTACGTTGGTCTTCTTTTGCATTAAATCTACAAAAATGGCGGCTCCCATGCTCAACATTGACACAAACTCGCTCGACGTCGACAAGCTCTCCTACGAAATCTTCTCGATTCTCGAGAACAACTTCCTCTTCGGAAACCCACCAAGCACAAAACCTCACAATGTCTCCGACCCCAACCCCGCCGATCTATCGACTCCTCTCCACCACATGCATTCTAGCAAACAAGTCACCGGAAAAGTCCGAATCCTCGCCATCGACGCTGCCGGAGCCACCGATGGCATCCTCGCCGCCAACGCGCTCTCCCACCTCGAGTCCTCTCTCCGCCTCAAGTCCGGCGATCCTAGCGCCGCCATCTCCGACTTCTTCGACGTCGTTTCAGGGTCGGGTGCCGGAGGCATTCTCGCTGCCCTCCTCTTCACCCGGGGATTGAAAGACGGGTCGACCCGACCCATGTTCACCGCCAAAGAAGCCCTCGACTTCCTCCTCCAGAACCGCCGCAAGATCTTCAAGTCGTCGCCAGGGGGGATTTTCCAGCGGGTTTTCCGGCCGGCGAAGGCGGAGAAGGAGAGGGAGAAGCTCTTTCGGAAGACTTTCGGGGATCAGTTGACTCTCAGGGACACGCTGAAGTCGGTGCTGATCCCATGCTACGACATGTCCTCCCGCGCGCCCTTCTTGTTTTCGCGGGCGGACGCGGTGGAGATGGACAGCTACGATTTTAAGATGATGGACGTGTGCGCTGCCACGTCGTCTCAACCTGCCGTTGAGGTGAGGTCGGTGGATTGCAGAACGAAGCTCATGGCCGTTGATGGAGGGATCGCAATGAACAATCCGACGGCTGCGGCTATTACGCACGTGCTGAATAATAAGCAGGAGTTTCCTTTCTGTAACGATGTTGAAGATCTGTTAGTGGTATCGCTTGGAAATGGAGAGTCCCAGTTTGGAAATTTGTCGCCTTCTGGCTGTTTGAGGATCGCCGGTGAAGGAGCTTCAGATTTGGTAAGAATTATGATCCTTTTTACTTTTTATTTGCATTGTTAAAATTTATGTGAAAGTAATTTTTTGGTTTTCTAATGTGAACAGTGGATGCATCATCGTAGTGAAACACCTCATGTCACCGTACAATTACAAGACATTTGAAAACAAAAAATTTCTTAATTGTATAATGACATGTGATGTTTTACCTTGTGTACCAAACACACTGCCATGATAAAGGGGCCACTTAATTATTAATAATTTTTTTATTAGCTAAAATAAACAAAGAGGCTCTCTTGGCTCTTTATGCAATATTTTTATTTTGGTGGTTAAAAATTAAAATATTTTGTACAAAATAAATCTTAAAGCATATTTGGTGCTCAATTAATTTAATTTTCTTTATGATTAGGTAACCCAACTAATCATTTTGTTCTTTTTTTTCTAAATTAAAGGTTGATCAAGCCGTTTCGATGGCATTTGGACAATCCAGAGCAACCAATTATGTTCGCGTGCAAGCCAACGGAATCATATCGAAAATGTATGGAGGCCCCGAAAACCCCAACGACAAAAATAAGAACAAGATAGACATGCTGGCCTTGACAGATGAAATGTTGTCACAAAAAAATGTGGAGTCCGTACTATTCCAAGGTAAAAAAATGGTGCAGAGCACAAATGTTGAGAAGCTAGAAATGTTTTCCGGGGAGCTGATTAAGGAACAAGAGAGGAGAAAAACTTGCATTCTGCCAACCGTGGCGTTGAAGCAGACTTCTTCATCATCGCCGAGCAGAACATCATCCGCCACAACCCTATCTATGTCATCTTCGTGCTAATTAGTGCTCAAGTTATGTACGTAATATATGTTAAGCATTTGTAGCCGCTCTTGATGTATGAGATTAAGTGTCTGAGTCTGAGCTGAGCTGCTGCTAAGTTGATTTTGATTTTTGTTGTATGTTTATTTGCTAGTTAATCAGTGTAATTAAATTTTATGAGAAGGGTGTTTGCAATGTGTATATTAGTATGGGATGAAGGCAAGGAAATTGGATTTATCTATAGTTTGTATGTTTTGATTCTACTGGAGTCAATTTGTATAATAAATATTTAATTAATTATTTGTAATTGTACTTTAGATTTGGCTTTTGGTAGTGGCAGGGGAATAGCATGTCAGATCTGAATTCCCTCCACACATTCTTAATTTAATTTTCAGATATTTAAATTTAAGGCCTTTTTTCGGTCAATAATTGAGCAGTATAAACAAAATAGTGAAGTTAAAGCAAATTTTTTATTTGCTACCTTAACTTTTATCTAAATTTCAATTTTTTACCTCAAGAACAAAAACAAAAACAAACTCAAAATTATAAGTATATTTGTTATAGAGCGTTTCGTTCCTTTCACGATTCAGGTCTAATTTTCGTAATACTTACTCCTTTTGAATTCAAATATGAGCTTTCCACCCTAAAATTAGGCAACAATTGAAATGATTTGGAGGACCCCCTAAGTTTTTTAGGCAACAATTGAAATGATTTGGAGGACCCTAAGTTTTTAGGAAGGGGAAGCTCATGTTTAGAGGCAAAAGGAGGAAAATGTCGTCCATGTCAATCTTGATCGTGAAAGGACTGAAACAACCTTATATGAGAGGCATGTGCGGTGTACATGATTCATTGTAAATGAAAATTTTTATTTGGTGAAGATTTTGATTGAATTGATGGTGTGGGCAAACTGAAATAAATTACAATCATTATTTCGGGTTTGATATTGTTTTTCAGGTAACAAATTTAAAGTTGGATAATAGTTAAGGTAGCAAATAAAAAGTTTGCCTCATTATTCTCTTTAAACTAAGCTACTCTACCCTTGTGGAGAAAGTCTTCCTCTTCGACACACTACGTCCCAGATTCGAACTTTTCTCCTTTATGTAGTCTTTAGTTGAATACATTACGTAAGAATGGTAGTTTGCCTTATTATTTTGGGCCTCCTACTTGTAGTGGCCCTTTGGATTTTGGGCTTTTAATGTGTGATTACCTTATCCATCAAAATAAAAAATAAGAAAAATGAAATTCGAATCTTTGCTTTGAAAAAAAAAAACATGGGGCTCGAGCATTCGATGAGAATTCTCTCGGATCATTTTGGTGGAGATCCTGGAAATCTGTAAATTGTATCCGTTCATCGTATATCATACAATTAATTTTTATCAAGTACTGATTGTGTTTAATTTTAAATAAAAATATTTAAAATAATTTTTGACCGCACAATATACGATCAACAGACACGATTTACGGATGCTCAAATCCTTACAAAACGGATCCGGCGAGGATCCGTATTCATTACATCCAATTCGAACAAGGAAGCCGAACTAGGTCGGTGCGTTCGGAGACTCGAACAAGTTTACGTTTGGTCGCCGACATTACTGTCGATATAAATACTAGTTCCACGAAAACAGGAAAACCCAAGACCTAAATTTACATAAAGTTCAAAAGAACCGAGAGCTTGCAGAAGAAGGCGGCAAGCGGCGATGTCAACAGCGGATGGCCATGTCTCAGAAAGCCTCTCTGATATCGACGACTCCGAGGTATGCAGATAATGCATGCATTGCTTTGATGCTTTCTTATTCTTCTTTTCAAATTTCTGAATTGTTTTCGTTGAATTGTGTCTGCCCGTGTTCCATAATCTGATGAATTGAAGGGTAGGCGTTCAAAAATTTCGATGATAATAATAATTTAGTTTGCATGTCGATGTTGTTGCAATTGTCTTTCGTTGTTATTGTGAAAAGATTCGTTCTTGGTTCATGACAATCGAACACATTTTTCATGTCTGATAATTAAGGGGAAAAATGTAATGAAAGACAAAAGCAGAGATCCTGAAAGTTACACCCACTTGCCCATCAGAGAACACTTCCATCATACCCTACTCGGTAGTCGGTATAGCGATTTAGGTTCGTATTTGATTGTTGCTTCTGTTTTTGCGTTTGTGAATTTCGATATGGAAGAACTCATGCTTCTGGTTTTTAGGTTGCTGGGTATCTTAACAGCAAGGAGGCGGCGCGGTTTAAAAGAATCATTTGGGAAGTACTCAACAAGGACTACGATCAGGTAATGCCTTTGCAAGTTTATAAGTTTTGACACAATTGTTTTCACAAGGATTTGTTGCAATGTTAGGGAATTTCATAGTTTCTGTTTTTCGAAGGTTTTGTTCTTATTTTTCGTCTATGTTTTTGTTGGTCACGACTGTTCAGAGTGAACGATCCATGGGATTTTGCATTTGATCATGACCGTAGTAGTATACATTTTCTTTGTAGGGGTTTCTGGTTTTCTCCCTTCCACTCTTTGCCTCTTCATTCTTCCTTTACTCTTTAGCTCAGTGATTTTTTGGAAGTTCTCAATTCTCTCTCTTTGTACTTCTATAGTCTCTCTTTTCATGCTTGATTCAAAAACCCTAATCTTTGATCTCTCTTTTCTTTCTGGTTTCTCTAACTTTTAGTCCCCAAATTCGAAAAGCATGCTGATAACTAAAATTTGCAACAATCCTTGGTCTTCCAGACAATTAACCTGTTTTTCAGTCCTAATCTTTGAAACTATGGCTAATCTACAAACTATATTTCTTTTAAGACCCTAAACACATAAAACAGCCAGTTCTGAATCTGAAAAGCCCACCAAATGCCAATTTCAGTTTTCGTAATCTGTTGTGTTAGAATGATAGTGTACATGTCTTAGGACTGGTGTCTTGCTTGCACTTTTTTTTATGCATTTCTTTGCAGTAAAGTTATGCCTTTTAAAGTAGGACCTTCTAACTAAACCTTGGATCGATTCATTAAATCACGTCACATGGCTAGCTGTGTGGTTCATCCAAATCTTTACTTCCCCTGAGTTTATCTTCGTATATTCTAGACTGTCATTTGTGCTTTGTACTCTAAAGATTATGCTTTGGAAGATTCATTCAGTTTATTTGCCATTCTTTGTCGTTCTTGCCTAAATTATGAACTGTTATTGGAGTCGCTCCTGCTTCCAAAGTAGTATTTGGATACTGGTTAAATGGTTTAAACTTTTTTTTAATCTTATTCGCATTTGATTTATTTTTTAGTTTTGTTCTTTTGTTATCTGTCTTTGTTTTACTACCAGCGTTGAGTCTTCATCATTGATTTCTAATTTTGTACATACAACGGTAAAATTTGGTAGGGAAAGAGTAGAAAACGAGCCAGAAAAGCCAAGAAAGCTGCACCTCAAGAAAAAGCCGCCAAAGTTTCTACTGGGATGAATAAAGAGGTAAGTGAATTAACTGGTGGTTACACTGGATGGGCTATTTTTAAGTCATATACTTGTATTATTCAACAATTACTAACGTGGCATTTTTTTTCTTGCAGAGGCTGAGTTCAAAAATCGACTTCGATGCTTTGAAGAAATTAAATGAAGACCTTGTAAGTATCTTTTTCGCTGGCTTATTTTAGAATCATTCTTGCCTTACTCATGGCTGTGCAATTCCTTTTATTATGCTTATATCAAACATTTAAGGTCTAGTTTTTTTGAAGGGTCAAATATTTAAGGTCTAGTTGCTCGTTAATTCGTTAATTTTTTGAAAGGTCAAATATTAGTATGTTTATGCGGTCAGTGGGCAGACGCCAAAATTTCTGTTTAGTGGGTAAAGGTCCATCAGAGTTGTACAAACTATGGCAGGATAAAACTTAAATGCGTAAAACCGTGATCTTTAGAAGATGGTGATTAAGGCTTGACAATGGTATCTGAAAATCAGGCAGCTAATGGAAGACTTTAGGAAGTAGGAAATTTTTTATCTCATTATATGGTGAATAGTTTCTTGGCCATCTATACTGATTTTGCAATGTAGTTCCATCCTAGTAGGTTTCAGAACTTTTCAATGTGTCCCGAATTTGTTGAATCTGACCCTTTTCTCCGTCTGTTTTTCAGGGACCTGGATTTGAAGGAGGCACGGAGTCTAATTGTGGCAGTCGTGGTGATGAGCAGCTGTCGAATCAGAGGAGGAATAGTTTTGAAGGCAGTCGTGATGAGGAGCTCGAACGTGAAAATACATACAGTAAAGAGGTTGAAGCCGGAAAAGGCTATGAAGATGATACATATGTTGCAAGCGACGAATATAGCAGGTACAATTATGATGAAGAATGCAATTACGAGGAGGGATACAATAACGATGATGGATACGATTTTGACGAACTATGACTCAATTAGTAAAAGCTGTTTTCTTGAATTTGGTTAACATATTCGTGATTTTGTTTTATCGTGTTATGATCGAAAGGTTAACCGATAATCTGTTCTGTTTTTGAGAATCTTTTGAGAAGCATCGACTGGTTTTTAACGATTGTATCAGTCTGAGGAACACAATTTGAAGATTGGATCTTTTTCCGATCTAAAAAATTATTCTTAACCATTTGTATCAATCTGAGAGAGATTCAATTGATCATTGCTTGCATTACAATTCACTACAGAAAAAATTATTCGACGTCGAGAAATCTTTTACATAATTCTGACTGAATAATGTCTCGTTCAAATTCCAAGCTGTTCACAGTTTGCTAGGAACAGCAAGGTACTTGGTATGACGGCCCTGCGCAATAATCTTCCCAGTCTTCTTCTTCCTGAGCTCAACACTCACAACACCAACACTTTTTCCAACACGTAACGTCCTGGACTCGATCTCAACTTCCTCGCCAGGATAAGCCGAATCCAAGTAGGATACATTGATCTCCACCGAAACTCCAAAGTTGAGAGCCCCAGAGGAGAGGAGTGCAGCTGATCCCACCAAATCCACAAGGGTTGCTGTGGCTCCACCGTGCATGAAATTGCCCCCGTTCAGCAGACGCGGGGGTACCTTGAAGGAGCAAACAATGCGTCCGGGTTCAAGGAGGTCGACTTTGACGCCTTTCATGATGAAGGGCTCGAAGAACTTGTCCGGCAGAGTATCCATGGCGACTGCCATTTCACCTTTTTTCTCCAAAAACAACTTCACCATCTCCATACTCGTTTCCTCGGTTCCTTCTTTCTTCATTTCAGCGATTGCCTTCAGCTCGAACTTCTGTTGCTGATTTGAGGCCTATGAGTGTTTTTCTTTCGCAATTTTAATCTGCAAAATGATTTTTTTGGCCTCAATCCCAACAAAAATTACCATCCATGGAGAAAGATAAAAAAAAACGAGATCTTGCATACAAACAGATCAAACCCGGAAACCAAAACCCAATAACAAAATTTCCCAAATATTTTTCTGAGAACAAGAACACCCACCCAAATTCAAGAGCAGTTTATTCAAAATCCCAGATTTATTCACGAATTATTAAATAAAAACAAAACCCAATTCATGGTTGGGAAATGAACAAGCCTTTCAGAAACAGACGCAAAATTTAAATCAGGGATATTCTGATATGAAGCTGAATCAAAGAAAGACAGAGAAAAAAATAGGTCTTCGTTAATAAGAGAAAGAGGTGTGAACCTTGAGGAGGGCTGTCAGCTGCGTCCGTTCTCTGAGTCTGTCGTCGCAGACGGAAATGTGAGTGAGAAGATACAGGTGACATGTGGGAGAGGAGGGTTTGGGAATTTGGCTGATAAATAGTAATAGTCACAATGGAAAATTGCACGGCACATCCCCAGCTTATGAATATTTAAATTAGTCCCTTCAATTTAATAGTCGCCACGTATTCGAAGTGGATCCATCATTCAACTCAACTTAACTTTTTAGATAATGTACAAAAAATTACCTTAACTATTGGTATCACGATACTTTCATACATCATTTTTTAAAATTGACAATGTCATATCTTATATTTAGAATTTGATGCAATGTTATACCTTTTGTTACTTGGCCGTTTACTTTTCAGTTAAATGCTGACGTGACTTGATTCGGAACCTATTTTCTATTAAAAAATTATTAAAAACTAAAAAAAAATTATTTAATATTTTTAAAAATAATAAAGAAAAGTAAAAAATAATAATAAAAAAAATCCCTCTGTTCGTCCGTTCCCCCTCTCTCTTCCCATCTTCATCTTCTTCGCTTCTTAATCTTCAACCAAAAAATAAAAAAAAATTTAAAACCCATCAACCCCCTTGCGGAAGAAGAAGAAGGAGAAGGAGGAAGAAGAAGACAAAGAAGAGGACAAAAAGGAGGAAGAAAAAAAAAAAAATTTTGAAAACCCATCCACCCCCCCCCCCCCCGCGGGGGCGGTGAAGAAGAAGAAGAGGAAGAAAAAAAAAATTTGAAAACCCATCAACCCCCCTGCGGAAGAAGAAGAAGAAGAGGAAAAAAAGGAGAAGGAGGAAAAAAAAAATTGAAAACCCATCAACCCCCCCCAAACAAAACAAAAAAAAAAACAAAAAAAAACCCTGCAACCCAGAAAGAAGAATAAGGAGGAAGAAGAAGAAAAAGAAGGAAAAAAAAAAAAAAAACTCAACCCAACCCAACCCAGTTTGTGCACCCCTCTGCAACCCAAAAAAAGAAGAAGGAGAAGAAAAAAAAAAAAACAAAAACAAATCCAAAGTGAACCCATTTCGTCCCCACCCACCCCCCCTCCAACCCAACCCCCTGCCAACCCCAAATCCACCACTCTCATCCATTCTCCACATCCTCTTCCATACTCATCCTCCACCTTCTCTGCGCACCCATCTTCCTGTCGACGGGATCTGGGTGTTTTTTTTTCCTGGGTTGCAGGAGGGAGAAGAAGGGGTGGGGAGGGGGAAGACAAACTAAGGGTGGGTGCGAGGGAAGACAAATTGGAATTTTTTATTTTTTTTATTTTTTTTGGGGGTTTGCAGGTGGGGGGAAGAAGATGAAGATGGGGGAGGGGGAGGGACAAACTGAGGGTTTTTTTTTTTTTTTTTACTTTTTATTATTATTTTAATATTTTAAAAATATTAAATAATTTTTTTTTAGTTTTTAATAATATTTTAATGATTTTTTAATAGAAAGTGGGTCCCGAATCAAGTCATGTTAGCATTTAACTGAAAAGTAAACGACCAAGTAACGGAAGATATAACATTGGACCAAATTCTAAAGATGAGGTATGACATTGTCAATTTTAAAAGATAAGGTATGAAAGTGTCATGACACCAATAATTGAGGTAGTTTTTTGTACTTTACCTTAACTTTTTCATCATAGCAAACGTCGTTAGTTTGAAATATTGGTACCATGACGTCCTTAGTATATGCCACATCTATTCAATAACTAACTTGAAGTTAATTATTGGAACCGGATCCTTTTCACCTGAGCCAACCAAGCACAAAATTCAAACTCTTGAAATTTGATCAAACAGTTAAAGTTATTATAACTTTTAATAGGGCCTCCTATTTTTAGCCGTTAGATCAAATTTCAAGGATTCGAATTTTTTGCTTAGTTGGCTCAGGTGGAAGGGATCCTAAGAGGATCCCTTTCCTTAATTTTTGGTTCATTCGCTACAATGAGAAAAGTCTCTTTCTTTATTTTCATTTTCGAAATGATCAGTTGGTGACTTTGCAACGGCAGTCTATATTCATATAGTCAATTCAGTCTTCATTACTTAGGAATTGAATTCGGAATGTACTGTGTGAAATACGAATTTAGAATTCGTGCTCAACCACTGAGCCACCCCGTGATGGTTAGAAAAATCTCTCTTCATAATTACAGTAATTTGCCAGCTGATCAAGAGTGTTAATCCATTAGTCAATCCCTTGGTATAGTCGTCACTTAGTACTACGGCCTGGTGATATTCTTCTTCACTTCTAAGTGAAAGGTCTCAAGTTTGATTCTCGCAAAGGAGAATTTGAACCATATTATTACTAGCCCATTATGAGGCTCAACCCAGCCCTTCTTAGACGATCTCCAACCCAACTTTTCTCCTCCAACCCTTCTGGATTAAATTTTTAGGCCGAGAGTATTAAAGAATGAATTTATGATAATTTTTTTCTTAAAGTAACTTTAAAAAATAAAATAAAATAAATATTATGTAGACTATCATAATTTAATTTTATGAATATTTTAAAAATATTTAGATTCTGATAAGTATTGAAAAATCTTTAAGTTGTGTCACATCCCAGACTCAACTCTGCCTGTAGCACGATATTGTCCCATTCTGGGCTTACCCTTCCCTCACGGTTTTGTTTTTGGGTTTCGGCACGATAACTTCCCAGTAAGGTCACCCATCCTGGATTGCTCTAGCCCAAACTCACTTAACTTCGGAATTCTTATGGGATCCAGAGCCAGTGAGTTCCCAAAAAACCTCGTGCTATAGGAAAGGGAGCATGTACATATAAGGTACATCACCCATTCTCCGTTGGTCGAAGTGTGATCTTACAATTCACCCCACTTAAGGGGAACCCGTCGTCCTCGCTGGCACATCCGCACCGAACGGCAGAATGGCCCTGATACCAAATTGTCACATCCCAGACTCGATTCTGCCGTAGCACAATATTGTCCGCTCTCTGGGCTTACCATTCCCTCACGGTTTTGTTTTTGGGTTTCGGCATGAGAACTTCCCAGTGGGGTCACCCATCCTAGGACTGCTCTCGCCCAAACTCACTTAACTTAGGAGTTCTTATGGGATTCAAAGCCAATGAGTTCCCAAAAAACCTCGTGCTATAGGGAGGGGAGTATGTACATATAAGGCACATCACCTCCTCTCTGTTGGTTGATGTGGGATCTTACAAACCGACACTATAAAACTCGTGAAACACTATGAAAGAATATGAAACACTTAAAATAATTTTTCTAATTACTTTAGCCGTTGGATTTAAATTTGGACCATTGATTTTTTTTTTTTTTTTAACCATTGAATTTGATCATATTAGATCTTAGTAATTGAATTCAGTGAATTTATAAATATGAAACTAAAAAAAGTACACATATATAGTGGGTCATGAGTTTTGGATTAAAAGTCATATTTGCCCTATAAGGGTTGGAGTAAGTTAAGGTAAGTTTAAAACCTAAAATTTGAGTTTTACTCCAAAGAGTAAATCTTAGTATAAATAATATCGTTTGTTAAAAAAAAAAATTCCTTTGATATTTAATTAAGTTGAAAATGCTATGATTATCTAGAATTGTAGAAAAATACTTCATAAAACGGATTAATATATATTGTATAATATTCAAATAATATATATGGGATGTTACTCGTCAAAGACTTATCTAATCATGACTTGTACTGATGCAAGATAAATTCTGAAATCACAATAATAAAATCACATATTCAATAAGGGAATTGTTATTGGCACTTCAAAAATCTTATTTTACATTTCAAACTTTCTATATTTGGAAAGAAAAATACACTTATGAGGAATGTAGAATAAGATTTTTGAAGTACCAATAACACTTCCCTTCAATAAATCAATACACGCTTAGTACAATATTAAGCGTATCTACTATGAGTACGAACCAACCCTTAATAGTCTCATAAACTTGTTAATCCAATTCATCCATGCATATGCATGCTTAATATTTGTAGAATTTTCAATCTTTTTGCGTTTCAGGAGAGTGTATGCTCCGAACAAACGAGGGGTGTTTCTAGAAGAGTTTGTGGCTATGTGATATCTCACATTTTTGTATGAAATTTTTTTTCCAATCCCTTTCTTTGTTTTTGGCTCATCAAAATTATCAACTGTACGAATTTCATGAAGTCTACTTCTTTACCATTGTCATAATAGTCTTCCTCGCTCAAATAGGGTTTGAGAGATGAGAATCGAGAAGGAGATTGACTCTGATTAAGAATACGCTAACGTATTTCATTGTATTTTTGAGTTTTTAATTTTAATTTTTAAATATAAAAAAAAGAGTTAACATAGTTAAGTAATAGGACAAGTGTCAAAAAAATTAACAAAGAGACACAATGGAGACACAAAAATGGGGACAGCAAACTTGTGGCCCCAACCCACACCCGACAACCAGTCACCTCACTCCATTGGCGTGTCACCTCGCTCTGGTGGCCGCTCGTCTCTCTCTCTATCTCTCTCACACGTCAGAATAATCTCATCCATGGAGATTATACATCATACAAACCAATTTGTACATCAAACCTGAAACACATGGAAGTAACCAACACATTCTCAAAGGTTGAAAATTTATTTGATAAAGAAGTTAAGTATGATTAGGAGATGAAACACATAACAAACAAATAGGTGTATAATAAGCGTACACCAAAGATAATGCTCCTTTTTTCTTTATCTTTTGGAAGCATATTGGTAGTTGAACCCCACCAGATCACTTGAGGCAACAAATTCAGGCCCCGCGTTCTATTCGTTTCTATTGTCCCCAAAAAAAGTGACCGTTAGAAATTCGAACGTTACAAGCCTACCGTTTTCTAGTCCCACATTTTTAATTCCTGTCACTCACGTTGCTCTTCTGGACAGAATCAGAAACCTCCAGATCATCATACTTCACTCTACAAACTACTAATTATATATACTCCCTCTCAGTCTCATCAGAATTCAAAACTCAAACGAAGGAGGAAAGCTTTGGAGAAGTGAAAGTAGCAGCAGCAACCAGAGCAAGAAAGGGAGACATGGGCATGGTGGTGGTGATCTCTCTGCCTTTTATTTTGTTCACCATACTCCTGGGTTTCGGGTGCTACTTCTTCGGGAGAGCGAGAGGGCGAAAGGACGCGATCGCCACGGCTCAGGTTTACGGGATGCCTGCTCCTCCGCCAGGAGCTACTAACTCTCTCCCTTCCTCTCCTCCACCACATCCTTTCAAGCATGACAACTCTGCCAATGTTTAAACTCAACAAATTGTGTGTGCTTTTTTGTTTTTATTATTTCATATTTGTTTTGGTGAGAATTCTGAGCCATGTATATGTATATTTGTTGTAAACTTGAGTTTTACTAAGCATATGGTATGATGAATTATGGATTTTCAAGAGTTTGCAGAGCCTCCTCTTTATTTAGTTCAAACTCTTTTAGATGATTGTTCTGGAGTCGCTAGAGTCAGATTAATTATTCTTAATTAGTGTTTGTTTTTTTTTTTCTTCTTCTATGTTACCGAAAAAAAATAAAATATTAGCATGATTGAATCGAAAAGTTGAAGAAAAATGAAAATTGATATGTAATACTAGAAGCACAACAGAAAAATCAACGATATGGATTTTCAAGAGTTTGCAGAGCCTTCTCTTTATTTAGTTCAAACTCTTTTGGATGATTGTTCTGGAGTCGCTAGAGCCAGATTAGTTATTCTTAATTAGTGTTTGTTTTTTTTATTTTATTTCTTCTTCTATGTTACCGAAAAAAATAAAATATTAGCATGATTGAATAGAAAAGTTGAAGAAAAAAGAAAATTGATATATAATACTAGAAGCACAACAGAAAAATCAGTTCCACAACCAAAGTAATTGTCCATGAAGGACTTGCCCACGTTTCTGGAGAAGCCACGAAAAACCGTCACCTCTTGCTCTGCGCTATACGCCGGCGGCTCATACAGAGCTGGCCCATGGGCTGTGCGAGGTGTGCGACCCCACTGGGCCCAGAAAATAAGTGGCCACTAAAAAATTATGTTAGCCCAAGAGTTATAGAAGTTGAAAAGTTCCTAGCCCAATGAGTGGTTTCATACAAGAACCCAATTAGTTTATGCGATTGACTACTAGCCCACGTAATTTGTGATGAAATAAAAAAAGATAAATTACATTTTATCTCTTTAGGTTTTAATTCAATTGCAATCTCATACCTTATTTTTAAAATATTGCACTGTCATACACTAATATATAGAACTTTTATTTTTTATGTTTTTAATTTTTTAACATGAGTATCTCATTACTCGTATACATGATATACCACTTTATATTCTAGGCACATTGAAAAATCTCTCTGGCTAGCCATGTCATCAGTGATGGACTAATGTGCTGATGAGGGTGTGCCTCTCTCTGCCCCACATGAACTCATGTGCTGGTCAAATAAAGTCAAAGGTTTAATACAATTGTGTGAAAAGACAGAGATGCCCAGTGCAGTCGTTTAAAATAAATATTATTTGTTGAGGAATGCATGATTAGTTGCTAATTGCTATGCAAATTGTAATTAAAATATGTACAAAAATAAATCCATTGGACCCATACTAATATAAAATAGAATTAGCACTCAAAATTTCGGTTCTTCATCCTTCACAATTCTTTGATGCATGTGTTAGTACAAGCACGTGGAGGGATTCCTCCCATCATTCATCACCACGAGAGGGAAAAACCACAAGAACATGTGAAACGATTCGTTCTCAGTCAACATGCCAAATAACAAAACAAAAATCTAACACCAAGATTAATAATAATTAATGTGTTAATTAAACAGGTTTTTATCTGTCCAATTAGTAATCTTAACGTCTCGCCAACAAATTATTTTTTAGTATCTTGAGTCTTGACATGATATGAGGTTAATTCTAATATTAACATTCTATTCGTATTTTAGGTGTAACAAATAAGTTGTGTAAAATTTTGTTAAATATAAACTTCTGTTCGAAGCAAATACAAGTTGTATACTTTCTTTGAATTTGTTGTTTTTGCTTATATTTTTGACAATTATTATCTAAAATAATTAGCAATAAAAAAAACCATCTATATATAACCCTACCTCCTTTGGAGATGCTCATGTCTTGATCTACATACTACATAAGCACCCAACTCTCTCTCTCTCTCTCTCTCTCTCTCTCTCATAGAACTATGAAATTATTTTCAGGTGGTATGTTGGGACCTACCTCCTCATTTCCACACTGTTTTGGCCATCTCTTTCTAAGCCTCATGAATTACGGTCCCCCACTCCCAACAACACCGTTCAACAATTTTTGATCCCTCACAACACTCAGAGATCAAGGCTCGGTCTCCGCCCTCTCAAATGGAGCCGAAAACTGGAGAAATACGCTTCGTGGTGGGCGCACCAGAGGCAAGAAGACTGCTCCTTGGTTCATTCGAACAGCAAATTTGGCGAGAACCTCTTCTGGGGCAGCGGTCGAGATTGGAAGCCGGGTGACGCAGTTGCAGCATGGGCGCAAGAGAGAAGTTACTATACTTATAGGACGAATTCCTGTGCTCAGAACAAAGATTGCTGGCATTATACTCAGATGGTTTGGAGGCGGAGCTTGAAGATTGGTTGCTCCAAAGTTACATGTAGGGGTGGAGATACATTCATGGTTTGTATCTATGACCCCCCGGGTAACTTTATAGGCCAAAAACCATATTGATTAATGAGTATACGATAATTAAGATCAATGAGCTTCCCAATACATGATATGATGTATTATATAGTACCACAAGATTTTCTTCGGGATGTTCTTTTAGATGTTCGTGACGTTCAGGTCTTAATGTACTTTAAACTTGATAAGAAAATGTAAAATAGTACTCAATGTTATGAATAAATAAATGAGAGAGAAACTTTACTAGAAATTGAAACACGGGTTTCTATGTGTCCCATGCTACACGGGTTAGAGCGCAAGCTAGTGATGCTTTTGGCTAATGAACTCTCGCCATCTAGGGTCCGGCAGTCAACCACTTCGCCTAGCGGCATGACACTATGAAATGAGAGTGATGTATCTCTCTTTTGATTTCTTATACTGGTATATATGTCAGTGAAATAGTGTAAAAGGAAGGGACAGTATTGTAGCTTTTGCTTTCTTCTGGTGTGCCAAAAATGGTAGCAGAAAAACCATTTATATAGAGGGCTACAAAGTTCTCTACGCGGCAAGTTGGCAGAAGAAAAGGAAATGCATAAACGTAAAAAACCCAAAACGCTTTAAAACTACATGCATAGGTCGATAATAAAGAAAAGAAAGCCTCCTGCAACAGGAATTCCAAATGGTAACGTGCGTCGTCCGTTCATTTTCCTTCTATAAACACTCAATATATATTGGTCTTTTGTCATATGCATGCCTTATGTATGACCCTGAGAGATTTTTCAGCGTGACCGTCACACGAGGTGATACATGACGTGTCCTTATATAAATGGTGAGTTATGTGTGTTAAAAGGTTAATAACTTAAAAATTAAAATTTTCCACCACTTGCATAAAAACACGTGGTGTATCATCTGTGCTCCCGTCACAACTAAAAATTTCTCGTATGACCCTTTTGCCACATCAGCTTGATAACCCAAAGAAGAGTAACATGAAATTGAGAAATTTGCCTTTGTGGAAATTGAGAAACTTGCCTTTGTGGAATTACTCCAAAGAAGAGTAACATTATGATAAGGCTTTTTTTTATTAGCACCCCACAATATGTTGAATACACCATTCATTAAAATTTAATATTAAATGACTTACATATCTAATATGTAATGACAATTTCGACCTTATAAGGTTTTATAAAAAATAAAAATTCAAATTACTTTTCACATGTATATCCCAAGTTTATTTATCTTCTTCAACTCATAAAACCACTCTCATCCTCCATTGTAGAATTAATGAAACTACAAATACGTTAATTGGAAAAATTATTCTTGATGAACGAAACATGAAATCAACGTTTCGAAAACTTTACATGAGGTAAGGCTTCGTATTTTCATTGTTTTAGTGATTTCAGTCGCCAAAATATTGGCAGTGATATCACAGTATTGATTCTTTTGCAACCATTCGTTTAATTGCAGTGAGACTAATGAGACGCTCCATTGATATGGACAATACTTCTATCGATGTCCATGTCAAATCTAATACACTTATATTCCTGGAAAGCTCAGAAAACTCGTCAAGAGATGAGCAGTAATCTATACTAAAATAACCGGAGACCTTCAGCTTACAATTGCTGTTTGGAAGTTTCTTAAGGTCTTTGCAATCTCCATTATCCAAAGAAGAAATTTTTTGGTGACACCAAACTGATGGAGGCAACTCCTTTATACCACCGCCACGTAGACTTAAGAATTCAATATTGCTTGGCATCTTCGGAAGGGAGGCAAATTGTCTGCCCTCATGTTACCGTGTCATTCTCATTTCCTCCTATTTGTGTAATCACGTTTAAGTCACGTCAACAAAAGGGCAGACAATCTGCCTTCCTTCAGAAGATACCTGAGACTCGCGCATCCTCCAAGTTTAAGAAAAGTAAGCTTGTAAAGATATTGAAAATACGAAGAAACTGCAACCAAACTTTTGCGGTCAAAAAGATTTATATGCCCAAGTTTTTTACTTACAGAAAGATTTGGAGCTTCAGTTGGGTTTTGGGAGGAACGCATATTGAGCACTTTCAATTTCATAAGATTCTGTAAAACTTTGAAAAGAAACAGCAATGGAGGAACGCATATTGAACACTTTTAATTGCATTAGATTCTGTAAAAAAATTGAACAGAAACAGCAAGAATCAATACCTTAGCATGATTAATTTTCTGCACGATTGCATATTATAAAAGCAGTAAAAAAAAAAAAAAAACTGCTGATAGAAAATATAAGGTATATAGCAAGATTGTGAAGTGTGAGGATATTATAGGAAAATAAATAAGATGTATTAAGATAGGTTTTAATTAAAAAAAACAAATATACAATGTATTAAGTATATAAAATGTATTCAATAATACGTGTGGTTTCAATATAATAAACCGTAAAAAAAACCGATTAAGGTGATACGTGCCCATTGCTAGCCCAAAAACCAAAAATCAAATCTTTCCGATTTTTGCTGATTCGTCCCCTGATTTCCTTTGACCCACTCCCCCTCTCTCTTTCTCTCTCTAAAAAGTACACACCTTTCTCTCTCCTCGTAAAAAATACGACCAGTACACACCCACCCCTCCCACCATCCACCATGCCATAACTCACCTCAGCTTTTCTGTTTCGCTTCGTTTTTCTCACCCTCTCTCTCTCTTGGTGAAGATTCCTCTCATTCACTACAACAATGGCCGCTGCTACGTGGCGGAAGCTGAAGAAGTCACTTACGCACAAGCTCTCATTCCGCTCCTCCGATTCGTCGTCCACCTCGTCGGCGTCGGCGTCTCGGCCGCCTCGTCCTCCTCCTCCCGCCTTAACCTCCTCCGCCACCCTCCGCCCCTCTCCGTCGTCTCGCACCTCCTCCTCCTCCATCTCCTCCAAGCTTTCCCGCAGCTTCAGCTCTCGCATCTCCAAGGTCAGTAATTACTACTCTCATCTACACATTATCCATTCCTTCAATTCAATCTTCTTATCGAATTAATTTTCCGATCAGCCTGCAATTATTAATTAATTAGTTAGTTAATCATCCCTAGTCGCCGTTCTGCGGCCTGTTTGGTTCCCGAGAAAGTCCGCCCGGGATCTCAGTCCTCTGTCAATATCTCGTGTCTAGTTGTTTTGTCGCCGGCGAGATTTTGACCACGAGCTTTCCGGCGAGGGAGCGAGTGAGTTGAGTGTTAAATTGCCGCGCCAGCTGTTATTTTTCCCAAACAAACCGGCCATCGTTTTCTGACTAATTAAGTTGGTTCGCCAATTGACCAAAATACCCCTATTGTTTTGGTGTATTTACGGGTGGTGGGTTTCGCTTTGTGGGTTTCTTCGGTGGCAGTTTGGGGATTTGGAGTAGGGCCTTTGACCACGTTTCTTTCTGTTTAATTTTGTTGGAGTAATTAGAAAATTACGTTTCTCTCTGTTTAGGTGTGCAAAACGTTGCTCGTTAAGTCTCTATCCGGTGGGTTTTCAATTAATTAAATCTGTATTTATTTATTTCAGCTGCCCATAAATTTACAGAAACAGACCGTTTTGTTTTTGTTTTTATTAATTTATTCTATTTTGACTAATCTAGTAAATAAAAAGAAATGCTAAGGGGGACTCTCAAAATCTTGTGACGAGAATTCTCGTTTAACGGTGGTAAAAAGTTCATGAATAATCCTTTTGTGAGAGTCTGTTAGGTTCTCAAGCCAAGGAAAGAGTCCAATCCAAAAGACTAGTCCATTAGGTGGGAGGACCCAAATACTTAAGAACCCCTACACCTCCATAAGTGTAGTCGACGTGGGATCATAACATTATACCACCGTTTGGAAGCTGACGCCCATGGTGGCCCTTACTCTGGTGGCTTTCACCTAGGCTCTGATACCAATGTTAGGTTCTCAAGCCCAAGGAAGAGCCCAACCCAAAAGACTAGTCCAATAGGTGGGAGGATCCCAAGGACTTAAGAACCCCTACACCCCCATAAATATAGTCGATGTGGGATCATAACAGAGTCCCCTTAAATAAAAGTAGAATGTGAATTGTTCTTTTGAGCTAACTAGTTTTTAATTTGGCCGTATTTTTTGACAAAGATGAAATCTTTCTTTTTACATATTTCACACATTTAAAGTTTCCCTAATAGTTCCCAACATAGTTTTGACGGGTCTTGGTGGAAATCTTCAATGATTTTCTTGTTAAAAGTCAATGACTTTGAGGTCCAGAAAGCCGAAAAGTCAAAGCTTTATTTTGCACGCCCTAGCAATTATTATGTCATATCATCTTTCGGTAGTCAAGGAGATGACAACGTATCTCATTTTGTGGATAATTTTACAACAATTTTGGTTATGAATTTCTAGTTTCCGAATTCGGATAATTGCTAAGATTTGTTTGTACTGTGTTTATTCTGACTCTTGGTCTTGAATGACTCGAGTTGAGCACAATTGCTTTCAGTGCTTAACATTGTAACACTATGACAGGCTATGCATGTGGCGAAAATTCTGTTCGTTCAATTTGGTTGATCGCAGCCTTCTCTGTTTGTGTTATTTTTTAGACAATTGTTGAAAGGTAAATGTATTGGTGTGCTCATCTCATGACTGACAGTTGTTATAATTCTTTCGTGCACAGAAAAATTGCGCCATTTGCCTGAGTAACCTGAGAGCAGGGCAAGGCCAAGCCATCTTCACTGCTGAGTGCTCCCACTCTTTCCACTTCGTTTGCATTGCCAACAATGTCAAACATGGAAATATTTGCTGCCCCATCTGCCGTTCCAAGTGGAATGATGTGCCTTTCCAAGCTCCCATCAACGTTGCAAATACTCAACAAAACCACTTGGGCCACATCCATAATGGTTTTAACCATCGTTACCAGTCTCACCTCCCATTGCTGCCCCAGGTCCATCCAGAGCCACTAAGCTTCTCAGATGATGAGCCTCTCCCGTCCACCTCACCTAGTCGATTCTCTGGCCCCCAAAATGTTGCAATCAGGGCTTATACAGAGTACTCTGCTATCCCTTTTGCAGAATCTCGCCCAACATTTCCTGTTCTTGTCAGCGTTCGAGCACCACCCCTTCAAGGAGGTGCGAACAGCCATGGCCGTACCCCCATTGACCTTGTAACAGTTCTGGATGTAAGTGGCAGCATGTTTGGCACAAAAATTGCCCTTCTCAAGCGCGCTGTCAGATTTGTCATACAAAACTTGGGGCCTTATGACCGGCTTGCCATAGTTTCATTCTCAACTACTGCTAAAAGGGTCTTTCCTCTCCGAAGAATGACTGTTGATGGTCGTGAAAGCGCCTTTCTAGCAGTCGAGTCTCTTAGAGCAAATGGCGGAACCGACATTGTTGGAGGACTCAAGAAAGGAGTTCAGGTCCTTGAAGAACGCCGGGCAAGGAATCCAGTTTCTAGCATCATCCTCTTATCTGATGGAAGAGACAATTGCAACTATGACTCACAGAATACTTCAAGTCCAAACCGGGTCTCTGAGTTCTTGAACCAATTGCCAGCTTCGGTACATTGTAGCAATGTTCCCATCCACACATTTGGGTTTGGCACTGACCATGATGCCACTACTATGCATGCTATATCTGATTCATCCAGTGGCACCTTTTCCTTCATTGAGTCAGTTGCTATGATACAAGATGCCTTTGCCATGTGCATTGGTGGTCTTCTCAGTGTTGTGGCTCAGGAACTTCGACTCACAGTTAGGTCAGCATCGCACGGGGTGCAGATTGTATCAATACCATCAGGGAGTCATGTGAGTGAGATTTCTGACGAGTGTCAACAAGGTGCTGTTGATGTTGGAAATATGTATGCAGAAGAGGAGAAACAGTTTCTGGTGTACCTTTTAGTTCCAACATCATCAGCAACTGGAAACAGGGAAGGCATAAGGAAGACATCACTGTTAGATGTGTCATGCGTGTACAAGGATCTAGGGTCAAATGAGTCAACCCATGTGCAAGGTGAGAGAGTAGAGATATTAAGACCCGAGATTTGGTCCCCTGCAGATGAGGCAGTGTGTTTGGAGGTTGACCGTCAGAGGAATAGAATTCTGGTAGCTGAAGGTATTGCAGAGGCACAAGTAATGGCTGAAATGGGAAATCTAGAAGGTGCACAGGCTATTTTGGCACAACGAATTGCAACCATCTTAACATCACCTGCAGCACAAGCTGGGGATGGTCTCTGTAATTGTCTGGAAGCTGAGCTTCGAGAAATCAGGGATAGAATGGCTAGTATGGAATCATACACGCAGACCGGGCGTGCTTATGTTCTTTCAGGGTTAAGCTCACATTCATGGCAGAGAGCCACAACTAGGGGTGACATGACAACCCAGATTATGACCATGAATGAAGGTGGAAACTCACGCAGCAGCGCCGTTGGCTATGAGACACCTACTATGGTTAACATGGTAAGGATGTCGCAGAATCTTGGGGCTAATCGCACGGCTTAGCTTCAACAAGTAATCGAGCCTCATAGCCCGACTTCATTTTTCGGTAAGGTGTGAATACGGATATACAGCATTCATCCTCAGATTAATTCATACTAGGCTGATAGTATTAGTAACTGGTACTTTCAAAAGGAACCTTTTATAAATTCTGACAGCAGCAGCAGCAGCAGTCATCTTCATGCTTAATCCTGCTGCTTGTTTTGATGGATATTCGAGTAGTTGAGATTCTTACGGGAAGTTAATATTCGATAATTTGTTTCATCTCTTGTGGTAAGGACCGAGGATTATGTTTATATCTTTTATCTTCTGGTCTGGTGATTGTGTTTGTACTACGCGATCGGAGTTTAGAGCCGGAACTGAAAATCTATCCAGACTATCCTTCATCCGGATAGATATGTCCCTGTGAGGGGCTAGGGCGATTTTTGCATGATTTGGCCATGTCCGTACCCTCTTCAAAAGGAAGGCTTAGATCTTTCAAATCTTACGCGTGAGGGATGTGAACCCTACTAGGCAAAGAATGAATCCGAACTTTCTCACAAAACTGAAAATGGCATAGATTCGCAAATGCATCAACAATAATATTGACGTGTTTCAATCAGATGACGAAACTAAACCGGATTTGTTGAGAGTAAAAAGCCAAATGAATTTAGAAATTAGGGATCAAATTCAAATTTGAGAATCATGACTTGAAATGAATTGCGACCATATTGACCATGAAAATAGAATCAAACTAGAAGATTTTATATTTTATATTTTGGCAAAATATTTCCTTGCTAGCATCACATTGTCATTTCATGCCACAAATAACCAATTCGAGCTAGCTTAAAATAAATTACGAAGATTTCATGCACTATACATAACACGTGTATTTTCAAAACAAATTTATTTATCTGATACTTAAAATAATAATAATATTTTACAAATCTGACTGTGTATAAAAGTGATTAAAAGACTATGTATAAAATCTAACTATTAAATTTTTGTACCAATTAATTACATACTAAGAAAGAAAAATTAAAATTAACTCCACAAACACTTTCCAATATTAAGCTCATATTTACGAATTAAAAATATAAAATATAAAAAAAAGAAAAAAAAAAGATAAAGAGAAAGAACAAAAGACGGTGGAGGAAATATAGCCTATAGGAATTGACGTTGGAACAAATAAAAAAAAAAGAAAGGAAAAAGAAAAATGAAACTTTGACGTCTGGTGATGCTACTGTTAGGTGAAATTCTCGAACTTGCGAACAGTTTGGCATTTCCCACCACCATAGAAGCTTCGGCAGTCTCCGCCTTGCTCCGTCGACTTCCTGCGATGACGGTCGTCTAGCTTCTCAAGTATGAATTTTCTCTTAATTTTTTCATCTTTTTAGCTATTTTTCTTTTAAATTCTGTTCGATCTACAAAAAATGATTAATTAGACTGAGAAAGAAGAAAAATTGACACTGTTTTCGCCGGTTTCTGTCTTTTAGATTGACGGAAATTGGGGGATGCCATTAATTTTGCTCTTGATTTTTTAGTGATTGGCAAAGTGAGAATTTGGTATATTGTTCTAATGCACGAGAGCTTGAATTTTTGTTGCATTTGAATGGTGTTTTTTTGGTTTGTCTGATAAAATTTGATTTTGTAGATTATTACTATGTAGAAAATATATTGAAACAATGCTGACATTTCGATAATCGGGTTGTTGTTTATCCGTGCAATTCAATCGATTTTCGACATGGGTTTGCTGTAATAGCTCTAGCAATAGTCTTCTTACTGTTTTTTGTGCTCTACAGCTCAATGGATTACAGTGCTGAGCGTTGTAATTAGTTTTGAGTTACTTGCAATTTCGGGTGGTATTTTCTTGTAATGTTTGTTGACCGAAAAAAGGATCTTGTAATGTTCATCGGCAAGCACTAGCCCTTTATACATGGCCAAGCCCGAACCTAGAGGTCGCACTGTCCTTGAACCACTGTCATTGTTCAACCTCTCTGACCACTCTCGTGCACGAGTTACATCACTCGCTATCTCCACGGTCTCCGACTCACAATGTCTAATCTACCTTGGGACCCAGTTTGGAATCCTGCTTTTGCTCTCTGTAAATCCCAATGATCAATCCCCATCTGATCCTTCCAACAACCCTTCAATCCCACAAAACATTTCGTTTTTGCGAAAAGTTTTGGTTGGCAATTCCTCAGTGGAGTCTATCCAAGTGTTTGGTGAAATTGGGAAGCTCTTGGTGCTTTTGGATGGATTTTTGTTTTTGGTTGATTCGCTTCTGTTACAGCCCGTGAAAAGATTGAGTTTCTTGAGAGGAATTTCTGTCATCACAAGGAGGCTGCGAAGCAGTGAATCAGAATGCTCAAATTTGTCAGGTCTTAGTAATTCATCAGAGTATACAAGCACAAGTCAGCGGTTTTTGCAAAAGTTCGGAAGTGGGATCAGAACAAATGGCTCGAAAACGAAAGAAACTGTGCAGCAGCGTATAGGCCATCATGTTTTCTCTGTTGTGATTGGTAAAAGATTGGTATTGGTAGAGCTTGTTTTGAGTAATAGAGTAGGTAAAAGTGACCAAGACATTGATGATGGGTCTTTTGTAATTCTGAAGGAAATTCAGTGTATTGATGGGGTTATGGCCATGGTATGGCTCAATGATTCGATAATTGTCAGTACGGTTAATGGATATAGTTTGTTTTCATGTGTTACTGGACAAAGTGGTGTAATATTTTCGCTACCGGATGTTTCTAGTCTGCCACGGCTTAAATTGTTGTGTAAAGAATGGAATGTGCTTTTGTTGGTGGACAATGTTGGCATCATAGCTAATGCACATGGGCAGCCGGTTGGTGGTAGCTTGGTGTTCCATAGTAACCTGGATTCTATTGGGGAGATATCTTCATATGTGGTCATTGCAAGGGATGGAAAGCTGGAGTTGTATCATAAGAAAACAGGTAGATGTATTCAGATGATCACTTTTGGTGGTGAAGGGGTAGGAGGGCCTTGCATTGTTGCAGATGAGGAAGATGGAAGTGGAAAACTTCTTGTTGTTGCAACCCCCACCAAGGTATGGGAAAATATCGATCTAGTGATTTATTTTTTATTTTTTATTTTTTTATATTATTATTAAGGGGAGGAGGGAGTTTCGAACCCAAGAAGCATGGGTAGAAACCCAACACCCTATTCACTAGGATATTGGACCACATGCTCGATTTAATGATTATCTATACTCTTAGCTTTGTTGCAGACGTGAACAAATTAAAGATTTTTATTTGTTGTCCTTTCCATGTTGCAAATTTCTAGGTTGTTTGCTATCGGAAATTACCATCTGAAGAACAAATTAAAGATCTATTGAGAAAAAAGAACTTCAAGGAAGCCATCTCCTTGGTGGAGGATCTTGAGTGTGAGGGTGAATTATCAAAGGATATGCTCTCGTTTGTTCATGCTCAAGTGGGGTTTCTCTTGCTTTTTGACTTGCATTTTGAGGAAGCAGTGAATCACTTTTTGCAGTCTGAGACAATGCAGCCTTCTGAAGTATTTCCATTCATAATGAGAGATCCGAATCGATGGTCATTACTGGTATGATATTTTTTGCTCATAACCAGGGGATATGGTCACATATAATATCTTCCTATATGAATAAAACTCACATATGCTCTCTGCCTTACTAAAAAACGAGAGGAGTGTTTCCTTTAAAATATAATTGCTCGTCAAAAGGTGTAAGAAGAAAATCAGGACACGGAGTGTGATACTCATTAGAATGTCAAGACTAATATTCTTGTTGTATTTTCTTGGGGATGTTAGATTACTAGGAAAAAAATACATAAGCAATGTGTAGTTCAAGAGAAAAGATTGCATAATTATATTCAATTTATCATTTATACTATTTCTTTATGTAACAATCAATACTACATTGTGAATGCGAAGAATTGTGAAAGACTCGCACGCTTGCAATCTTAGCCTGCATTTATGCTGCATTCAGCACGAACATATGTACTTCTATTATGAGCTTGCTGATTTTCATGTTGTAGTGCTGTTAAGCTTCTGAGTTTTGTAATCATAGTGTTTGAACTTGCGTTTTCAGGTTCCTAGAAACCGCTATTGGGGTTTGCATCCTCCCCCTGCGCCTCTGGAAGATGTTGTGGATGATGGGTTGATGGCAATTCAAAGAGCAATCTTTCTTAGGAAAGCAGGTGTAGAAACTGTGGTAGATGATGCATTTCTCCTGAATCCACCAAATAGGGATAAATTGTTGGAGTCTGCCATCAAATCAATTACTAGGTGACTACATCACTTCTGGTTTTTCGTTAAATGTTTTTCTATTGTTTTCTGTTGCATCTTTTTATTTAATTTCACAACTAACTTGTACTTGGATTATAGTAACTTTTTCAATATACATTCTTGCTACAGGTATTTGGAGGTTTCTCGTGAGAAAGAGTTGACTCCATCAGTGAAGGAGGGAGTTGACACCCTATTAATGTACCTCTACAGAGCTTTGAATAATGTTTATGACATGGAGAAGCTGGCATCATCAGAGAATTCTTGTGTTGTGGTATGTTTTCCCACTCTCATATATTCGTTTTACCATGCCGAAGGATTTTTGCTTTTACAACTTTCCTAAATCAGGAGTTCCTGTTTCCTTACTGCATTATTTCTAGTCTTCTTGAATTTGAAGTAAATCGGAGTATATTAAGTTATTAACTGTTAATAAAATCAAAGGCAAAACAAGTTGTGTTTTCATTGTAGACCTGTTTATCCATTTGATTTCATCCACTCTAGGATATCTTCTTTTTTCATTTATACCATAATATGAATCAGAGAAAGTGATGTAGCGATTGTTAGGATTAGAAAAGAAGATTGATGGTTAGTGTAGTTGAATGAAAAACTAAGATGAAATTGACAAAAAATTCCCTTAATTTGGACCATAGTAAAGCTGCAAATTGTATTGCCGGGGGCCTGGGTCAGACCTGATTTGTATTTAATTGCTAAGAGACAGTTTTGGGATTTTAAACAACTAGAAAGGGCACACCATATGATGGTATCAAATGCAAGGACCATGCAAAATGTCTTCTAGTTGAAGACATTATATCAATGTTTGGTTTTGGAATAGCAACATACTTAATAGGCCTCAAGACAATGCACTGTTAGGATGTTGGCCAACAATCTTAGCATTCCCATGCATTGAAAAACAGAGGCTATTGTCTGGAGCCTGCTTGAAGGATGACTGTAGAACTTGCATGGGCGGTGCAGGAGGAGTTGGAAACTTTGTTAGATGACTCCAGGCATTTACGTACGCTTGCCTTCCTATATGCAAGTAAAGGAATTAGCTCAAAGGCTCTTGGTATCTGGCGCATCTTGGCAAGAAATTATTCATCTGGCCTTTGGAAAGACCCCATGTTGGAGAGTGGTTCACAGGATGGTGGTACAAATATCATCTCTGGTAAGGAGACTGCTGCAGCTGAAGCATCAAAGCTTCTCGAGGAGTCATCTGATCCAAAACTTGTTCTTCAACATCTTGGATGGGTACGTGTTAATTATCTGCAGAGTTGTTCCTTATTTATCTTGGATGGTTTGTTTTGTTTTATTTTTGAAGTTTGAAATTTTTTGAAAAATCTTATGGTTTGTGCTTCGCAACTCCCTTGTTTAATTAGGAGTTGGTTGGTATTGTTAGGTTGCAGATATCAACCAGGTTTTTGCAGTTCAGGTTTTGACATCAGAGAAAAGAGCTAATCAACTTCCACCAGGTGGATCTTTGATCTCCCAGTAATTTTGGTTTTGATGTGTGTTTTTTTGATTACCACTTGTGTAGAAAATGACATCTAGGCAAGTATCCAGTTTAAAGGTGAGTGATGTATAAGAAGTTTACACCTTTATGTCTGTGCCATTGGCTAGCTACCCCAAGCAGTGGCGGAGCCAGATTTTAATGTGAGGAGGGGCCTCACAACATGAAAAGTTGTAGTAAATTGCATTTTTGGAAAAGCAATCAAATTCAGTACAGAGAACTAAAAACATTGTACAAACTCAAACACTTGAATATGAAGTAAGAGTTAAGCATGAAAGATTTGAAAATATAACAGAAGGACTAAAGAAATGACAAAGAAAAGTTGATAGCAAAAGGAGGGGAAGGGAAGTCTGCACTGAAATAAGAGAGATGGAGTGCTAAACGAGGCATGTAAAAGGAAAATAGAGTTTAGATTAAGACGGGGCACACTTGAATTTAATGGTTTCCACTGATAAGGTGCAGCAACAACAATATGTTATTGTAGCAAGAAAAAAGGCAGGATGGGCCCAAGACTATTCTGGTCCCTTAGTAGCTGCACCTCTGACCCCAAGCATGCATCTAGGCATTCATTTGGAACATCCCTTTGAAGTAGGGCATCAGAACAATTCAAAACTTTATTTTGCTGTATCAGCCTTTTGTATTTTGTTTCTTTTTAAAAAATACAAGCCTTTTATATTAGTGTGTGTGTTATGCTGCTATCTGTATGGCATGAAAGCTAATAAATGGTTATCAATAATGCATATGAAAGTTTTAATTTACTTGAGAAATTCTCTTTTACTGCAGATGAAGTTATTGCAGCTATTGATCCAAAGAAGGTGGAGATTTTTCAAAGGTATGTCAATTACATAGACCACAGTACAGCTTTTTCTTGAGACTTTTCAGAAAGGTAGAAAGGTATAGAATGTAGCCATGCATGCACTGGGAGACTTTTCATGGTAATATTTATTTAACCAACTGTACCATTATAACTTTACAATGCAACCATGCTAACCACCTGTGTTTTCGTTAAAGTGCTATTCTTATTATCTTACTGTTCCACCCATTTCTTTTGTCAAACGCATTTGCAATATTTATTTTTTCCTTGGTTGCCTTTACTGTGTTATGTACTTATTACTTATCAGAAGGAAAAGCAGAAGTTTCTTCCTTATGTGATGTGACCTTCAATGTATAGAATTGGGTTTTACCTCTTTGTGTGCACAGGTACCTTCAGTGGTTGATTGAAGACCAAGAATACAGTGACAGTCAGTTCCACACATTATATGCTCTCTCACTTGCCAAGTCAGCAATTGAAGCATTTCAAGCAGATATTGCCTCGCAAAACCTTGGTCCTGGAAGGATAGAAGAGACAAACATTTCTGATGATGGAACAAGTTTGATATTTCAAAGTCCTGTTCGGGAAAGACTGCAGATGTTTTTAGAGTCTTCAGACTTGTATGACCCAGAGGAGGTTCTAGACTTAATCGAGGGATCAGAATTGTGGTCGGAGAAGGTCTGTCATAACCATATATGGACCTTGTCTTGAATTCTGCTTTAGAACCCTGGCTACCTGAATACACAAATTATTTACAATGTGCCATTGGACAAGTTAATTATTAAGTTGTGGTCATTAGCTGTTGGGCCAATTATAGACTGCATTGATACTGCTACTGCTACTTTCTGATTCTGGATTTATTTAACAGGCTATTCTTTACAAGAAACTAGGGCAAGAGGCATTGGTGCTCCAAATTTTAGCCTTGTAAGTTTCATCTTGCTTTCTGAAAACTCTGCAACAATACATTAGTTGCTACTTCATCTGGGTATCATTTATAATTAATGCGGCACAAGTTGATGGTTGCTTCGATGTGGTTCCCCAATTTTGTTTTCCTGAGAATGATAAATTTCAGTATTATCTTGACAATGGGGTTTCTTTTGTGCATTTCTTAAATTTTTACATCTGTCTTATTTTGTGAAGTTCGAAAAAGTCACGTGTTCAGCAATTTCTTGCATCACATAAGGTTTATGACTAGTAGTATTAGTAAAATCTTATGGTATAGGGTTTAGGTAAAGAAATTGTTCCACATAGTATTTAAGTAACTGAGCTTTGGGGGGTTTCCCTTCCCCAGCCCCATCCCCCACGCCCCAATTATATTTTTTACATTATGCGGTGTCGAATATGCTTCAGTTATGGGGTTTCATAGTAAGTTGAGAAGTGTTGGCCTATGGTCTAACATAGGGTTTCCTTGCTTTTTAAGTTTTGTGTGAACTAACATACAGTGGCTTTTTAGGAAGCTGGAAAACAGTGAAGCTGCTGAGCAATATTGTGCTGATATTGGGAGACCTGATGTCTATATGCAGTTGGTTCTCTCTCTCTCTCTCCACATGCACAAGCACACAAAACACCCATAAACACACATGCAAAGTATGCGTATGATGTATTTAAAATTGCTTCTCAATTTTCCTTTTTGTTTGTGCTGTGAGAACTCAGGTTACTTGATATGTATTTGGATCCGCAAGATGGTAAGGAGCCTATGTTTAAAGCTGCTGTTCGCCTACTCCACAATCATGGGGAATCATTGGATCCTTTGCAAGTTTTAGAGGTATCAGACTCTCTCTCTCTCTCTCTCTCAGAGATTTCTGGGAAATTGGTGGGGAGCGGAGAAAACTGAAGTTTGCACAATTGCACATACATTTTTGTTTGGTTACTTCTACATTATTAGCAAGATTCTAATTTTGGGGACTCAAGAGTCTTATGATGTTTCTCATTTTCTGCGCAAAATTCTGGTTTGATGTTGCAGAGATTGTCCCCAGATATGCCTCTTCAACTTGCTTCTGAGACTATACTAAGAATGCTGAGAGCTCGACTTCATCATCACCGTCAAGGAAGGGTAAGTTTTGTGTTTGAGATTCTTGTCATTCTTCCTTAAGATCGTGAAATATTCATTAATTGTTTTTTTTTTTTTTTTTTTTTTTGGTGGGTATTGAGCTATGTTCTCCATATCAGATTTTTGTCATTCTTCCTTAAGATCGTGAAATATTCATTCATTGGTTTTTTTTTTTTTTTTGGGTGGGTATTGAGCTATGTTCTCCATATCATAAGGAAATTAGTGAATCTGTTTTTTCTTAAGTTGCTTGCACGTAGCATCTCCATGTTTCGTGCTTTTCATTCCTTATCTTGAGCCAATACATTAATTGCTTTTCAGATTGTGCACAATCTGTCACGTGCTTTAGATACAGATGCAAGTTTAGCAATATTGGAGGAAAAGTCAAGGCATGTGCAGATCAATGATGAAAGCCTTTGTGATTCTTGCCATGCACGCCTTGGAACTAAACTATTTGCTATGTACCCGGATGACACCATAGTCTGTTACAAGGTTAGTAATGTTGACCTTTCATTACGCACTGAGGATGATTTTTTTCTTTTAATCTTGATAGTCCCACCTTTCATAACTTATTACTAACGCCTTACCAGACAGCCCCACGTCTATTTTCGATCATATATTTTTCAATTTTCTGTTGGCAGAAAAATCTGGTATTGTACTTTTTCTAAGATGTCTCATATGGTTCGCTGTTGAGACACAGGAAAATACATGCAATTTGTGTGAGTATGAACTATTATCTAGATCCCCTCCCTCGGTATTTATAATGGATAATACTCTTAAATATCATGACAATGGCTTGAACCGCTCCATACTCTACTAAGAAAGGAAAATATAGGCGAACCACTATGGTGACCTGTTACATGCAACAAGATTGTACAACCTTCCAGTTTCAAATGTTCAGCTTTAATGCAAAACAACATTTCTTAAGCAGATTTATATCTAATGGCCACCCTATGTTAATTGTTCATGGCTAGTAATAAGGTTTTTCTAAATTAACATCCTTTCTTGTGCAGTGTTTCCGTCGTCAGGGTGAGTCTACATCAGTCACTGGTCGCAACTTTAAACAAGATGTCCTAGTGAAACCAGGTTGGCTTGTGACCCGGTAATCCAAATGGTGATGCGATAATGAAACCGAAGATTGAGGCTGGTCTGTGCCTCTGAGTCCATGCTTTTTCTTTGAGGGTCAGGATCAGGTTCTTAGCAACTCAAAAGTCATCTCCAGGCCCCAATTTCGTAGTTCATTGTTCGGTAAAGGATGCTCCATACCATGCCATTATTCCCTTCTCATGGAATACATGTGTTTCTTTGAATCATCATCAAGCCTACCATTGTGATAGGGAAAAACTTCAAGCATGATATCATGGTTACCAGGATCTGTTGTGATCCGAATCTCTAGAGGAACACGTAGTTTAGAAGTTTGAGATCCGGCTAATCCATTCCTTCCCAGAATCAGGAATAACACCGCGAGTTTGCATAGCATGAGTTGAAATGACCAAGAGTTTGCCGCATAGTGGAGGGATCAGCATTCTTCATCGCTCAGTTCTGTAGATATGCTGAACGCAAACTTCCTTCTGCACTATGATAAAAATGTCGCTACATTCAGAAAATTTTGACAAATGTTTGTAATGTGACGGTATCGTATCGGATGGCTGATAACGGAGGAGGGATGTTGATGTTAGACGCTTATACGTTGTGCATTGTTATTACTTACAAAGGGAATTTCCAAGTTATAAGTTGGGAGTTGTTTTATTAAATTCGAACACGTAAAAAATGTGATCCGGTTTTCTCAACTTGTTTATATTTAAGACAAAAAGGGAAAGAAAAGAGATTTATATCTGTATATGTTGGTGATATTTGTGCCATATCTGAATATGGAGACAAGCGTTTATTACGTGATAAGCATTTATTTGTCCAATTTATTACGTGACAACCGTATTAGACGAGTGGTTCACTCTTTAAGCACGCAGCCTACGTGCATTAAATAAACGACGCCATTCTAACTATATCTTGGTTGCAAGAAGAATTTATCTTGAATTTGAGTGTTTTCCCTTATAAATATGCTTGTGAAACATTTGGATCAAGCTAATGGAAAGCACTGAAACCCACACAAGGCATGGTAGACTTTCTCATTATCTGCATATGATTTTAAGAGTACGATAGATTGAGAGAAAATCTGAATCAACCCCCAACCAATTACAATCATCCAACTCAGCCTCCTTACTCCCTTCACCCTATCCACTCTCCCTCCTCTCTCCTCCACCACCAGTCTCTATTCCTCCAAGATTCTAAAACCCTGCCCTCCACACTCTCACTTCCAAGTTCTCCTCCTTCCTCTCTGCTCCTCCTCACAAACCCTAAACAAAAATAGAGGAAAAAAAACCATGTCTCTCACAATTCCCACAAACCTTTCAAAACCCATGTTTCAGCCAAAACTTAGCTCCCCATTGGCCACAAAGCTGCCAAGAACCGTGGTCTTCTGCTCTGCCTCCCCAAACCCTAACCCTACCCCTGAGAAAATATCGACTGCATCGCCCATGCAGGCGTTCTCCACTGCACTCGCACTCTCCTCCATCCTCATTGGCTCAGCTCCCATGCCTGCAGTTGCTGACATCTCGGGACTCACCCCATGCAAAGACTCCAAGCAGTTCGCCAAGCGTGAGAAGCAACAGATCAAAAAACTCGAGTCCTCACTGAAGCTCTATGCACCCGACAGTGCACCCGCCCTAGCCATCAAGGCCACCATAGAGAAGACTCAGAGGAGGTTTTCCAACTACGGCAAGCAGGGTTTGCTTTGTGGATCGGATGGGCTTCCCCATTTGATTGTCAGCGGTGACCAGAGGCACTGGGGTGAGTTTATCACTCCTGGTATTTTGTTTCTGTACATTGCTGGGTGGATCGGGTGGGTTGGGAGGAGCTACTTGATTGCCATTAGGGATGATAAGAAGCCGACGCAGAAGGAGATCATCATTGATGTGCCTTTGGCTACTAGCTTGGTTTTCAGAGGCTTCAGCTGGCCTGTGGCTGCTTACAGAGAGTTAGTGAATGGTGAACTTGTTGCCAAGGACGTTTGAGCTTCTTTTTCTTATTCGTTTTTAATTTCTTTGTATAATTTGTAAAATTACTTGGAATTATATGTACCAAATGCTTGTGTTTGAAACTGATCCCACTTAACATTTCTATTTCTATTTGTGCTATACCTAAGCATAGTTTAGTATTACCCTCATATGGTAGTATGATACTCATTTGTCATTTGAAAATACTTGGAAGTCATTTCAGATCACAGTTTGGGGTGTGTGTACAAACTTATTTTTTTGTTATTTTAGAGAGGCTTTTGCAGACTGTAATTTGTAGGTAAGTAATAATGATTTACATGAAAATCTGTAGATTAATTTTGCAAATGATATAGGGATGAACATACTTCAACAAGGTGATGCCATTTAGCCTCAAGAATGCGGAGGTTACCGACCAAAGATTGGCGAACAAAATCTTTAAGAACTTTTTTGGTACAAAATCTTCAAGAAAAGACTTACACAAAATTTTTCATTGTCACCTAATATTTAGTTCATGATGCTTGTCAGTGAACATATTGCATTTAGATTATGCATAATCAATCCTTGATAGATCCTGCGCATATGGTTGTATGTAGACAATTCAAGAATTTGTTTTGATACAAATCATAGTAATTTTCATTGTTTAGGTAATTGCCATCACGTAACAGTTCGTGACGCTTGTCAGTCTCACATATTGTGTGTAGAGTAAACAATTCACAATTAATCCTCGATAATCAACGGTGTGGTTATATGCAGACAATTCAAGAACTTTTATGATACAAAATCTTCAAGAAAAAAAGACTAAACATAGTAATTTTCATTGGTTAGGTAATTGTCTGTCACGTAACAGTTAGTTTGTAACGCTTGTCAGTACGCATATTAAGTGTACAAAAATTCATATAAAAATCCTAGAAAAGGTTGTTGTGGTTATATGCTTTGAGTGATATTTGAAGCCCCCAATTCCAAATTTCCCAATTTAACAACAATGATTCCATCTATGATTTTGTCGAAGAAATGTGCATAGAGCATAAGTGTTTATGTCCTAATATCATGTACTCCACTCAAGTATTTTCGTTCACTTGTCAAAAGGGGATTCTTAGACAAAACCGCACAAATAAATCAATCACATCCAGCAATTGGATAAAAGGAGAGAGGATCCTTGCCGGATCCTCATTCGGAAAAAAGAAATCCCCTCCATTGGACCAGAAAATAAAACATGCATGCACTTTAGAAAACATAAAAGAGTCGTTTCTCTGGCGTGGAAAAAGTTTACGGGGAGGAGAGGCTATCCCATTTTAGGGTCAGGGCATCATATATTATAATTTTTTTGAAGAATTATAGAGGGGTCTCAACCTTTTTTTTGTTTTTCACAGATCACCCACCAAGAGTGATTGCCGATGATGGGACTTAAACTTAGGCCTTGATCCAACAAAAGAAACAATCCTTGCTAACTCAACTGACTCTCATCGGCATAAAAGAGTCGTTTTCCAAAACAGAAATGCGGCAAACGGTCAAATATTTAGACAAAAATAGGTGGAATTTTACTATGATTACCAATAATATTCCATACATGACTGCTCCACAATCTGCAAATCCTACTACAATCCTCTTTCAAATTTCGTTCCCACTCTTTTCCCCAAACTGTCAATATGTTTGGTGGATTCACACATCCAAAGTCAACCAGTCACTTGGAGCAAATATAAAAAGTCCCACAAATATATGATTACCCAATATAAATATAAACAAGTTAAACTAATATTTACAATCTAGTTACTAATGGAAAATCAATCTCGAACTCAAGCGGGCGAATCGCCTTGGTCACTGTCATCGTCACCATCACCGCCACCGCTTTTACTGTTGTAACCGTCACTAGGTTTACCCCCGGTGTTCATTTAAGGACTACATAAGTAGTAAAGCAAATATTAGGCATGAATACCAAAACTAATTACTCTCTAGATTATAGTAGAGTAAACATTAGAAATTAATTAAGCTTAGCATGACCACATGGACTCTCCCAATCCCAAGCTGGTATGGTCCACCATCATATCCATGTCGAAAATAGGCCGGGCCTGAGAACCCATGAACTTAGATGGGGGTGACCCACTATTACTTGGGCTAGCCGGACTTAACCCATGGTTAGAGAATGATGCAGTCTGACGCACCCTGAGGTGCACCACCTCTGCCTGAGCTAGAGCCAGTTGGGTTTGAAGCACATCAATCTGTTGTTGTAAGGACGAAATTGCCCCAACACAACCATAAACTGGGTCTCGCACCCTGGCATTTGCTTCATACACCATGCTACTTACTGCATCTCCTCTTTGGTGCTCTGGCAGCTCCTGCAATTGTCACAATTAAACTTGATCTTAACTTTTGACCACAAAAGAAAGTTGGCGCTAGTTATGGTGAAAACTTACATGCAGCCGAGATATATATTTTAAATTAATCACACTATGAGTGACTGACATGGGTACGGTACAACTGAGTAAGTTACCCTTTTAAAGAGCCTTCAAAACTTGTAACCCTAGTCCCGAATGAAAGGCCAAAGGTCCTACAAGACATGTTTTGGCTTGATGTAATGATCACACCACTCTATGATCCTTGCAAAATCCAAATCACGCGTCATCAGCCATGCTCTTATTCATTCGGCTGAACATAATATATGGCCCCAAATTAAGTTATGACACTTTATTTATTTATTTATTTTAAAAGCAAGATAGACAACTGGCGACAAACTACGGTTATCCACGTATTCCGGGGTCCGAAAAGACTAACATAGACATTTCAATCTTATCCTGGCCACAAGTTTGGCTTCCACACTAGCAGTGGATTTCGAACTCAAGACCTCTAATTTTTAATTTAAAAGAAGCTTCGCAATTCGTCATTTACCAATAAATCATCAGCTCGTGATTAAGTTATGACACTTTATTGGTTGCCTGTCTATATCTATGAGGCATCATGTCTAACTAAAAAGAATTGAAAATAAAAAAAGGTAGAAGATAGTGATTTTTACATTTTTTATTTTTTCGTTTTGCACTTTTCTCGTTGGTTCTATTCATCGATTCTATCTCGATTTAATCAATATAAAATGTTAGACCATAAAAATACAGACTCACCCATTAAAACTCCACGAGTAAAGATTCTCTTTGGCCTGTCCACGAAGGACAACACCCAAGCAGAAGAGAGAGAGTATTCAAGGATCCAAAAATTACTTCTCAAATAAAAAAGAATAAACCATCTTTTGTTTTTCTTGGATTTTGGCATCTTTTCTTTATCACATTTCATGGACTTGTTAAAATAGAAAAGTAGATCCCCAAATGATATATTTCTGTTATCTTTTTACCTGAATAAAATAATAAGAAGCAAGAAACAGCTTCACGTGATCACGTAAAACAGCTTCAGAAGAAGTTTGTAGAAAAATACAAAATAGATTTTTATTTTTTCTCAATGGAAAGTGAAAAAGGTGAGTTGGTGTTGGTGCAGCAAGCAATGAGTGTTGTGTATATCGTATCCATAAATTGACTTCATTGCCCCTTTTTATCAGATTCCAAAGTCTTGTTAACCGTTGAGCAATTTTGGCTCCTCTTGGATCCGAACAGTAAAACGACTATCTGAAAACACCCTAGTGAGAGTGAACACTTAGCAGTGCTTTTCAAATATGAACACTTGCCAATTGACCAATATGAACACTTCTCCGTATGGCCGAAAGGGTTTTGGAAGCAAATTTTGGTGTAGATCGACAACATATGCAAACTACCTTCAAAGGGTAATGGTAATTTATACAAATTTCATGCATGTTCTCTCGTCGTTGAGCTTATTTTATGTTTACGTTATCGATCTGTGAAATTGAAATCACTGGTCAAAGTTGCTATTTCTTAAGCTTGATATTCACACAACAAATTAACTTACTTTCCGAATCTACTCTTTCCATGTCTTTGAGAATGAAGAGGGTAGAAACTAGAGAGATCATGATTAGTGGTAGGAATTACCTGCAACATCTTGTTGACATTGCTGGCACCAAACACTTTGTGAACATTAGCAAACTTTTGGGGCTCATCCGCAGGAAAATAGGGAGCAAACACACAATCCTGAGCGCACCTCCTTCTGAGAAGCTTGCATGCTGCACACGGCGAGGGTGCACCTTGTTTCCTGCTGCTTCCGTTCTCCTTCATGCTTGCCGCGTGTCTGATCTTCGTTGGACGAACACAATCCCCAACAGTGGGCAGTAACCCTAATTGTGTAGGGTAACACAATTTTTCCTTGAAAGAGAAGGACAAAGCCCTATTTTATGAGTGTGAAGTAGAAGCTGATGAGAGACAAAACAAAGAGGTAGCTAGTTTAGTTGAAAGAAGCAAAAAAGCAGAGAGCAGAACAGTAGAGACTGAAAGTAGAAGAAGGATAAGGAGGGATGTGAAGTGGGGATGGTGGGCATAATATAACAAGAAAAGGAAGCATTGCATCTGGGGTGGGTCCTACTTGAAAACCCTTTAGATTTTGGTCGACCAAAATCTTCAATCCTGACATGACTCATTATTTGGCGCCATTTTAAACTTACTTTTTCTCATTAGGTAACATATCATAACATGCATATGCTTAATTTTGTAATGTACACCAATGCAATTAGCAACCATGAAAAATTAAAATTTGCGTGGAGGGCAACTCAAAGCTTGTCACGCCGTTTTAGGTCCTGCAGTTTCATAGAGCTAAAATCTACTAACTAGTTTTCATTAATGTTTTAAAAAAGCATGTGTTTATAGAGGTAAATTTGACAATAATATTATGATAGGTCACTCTTGAATTACTCTTATTTTGTTTGAATTGTCTAATTCGTGTTGTGGCTGGAAATGGTTACATTTTTAATTTCATGGGTCTGGGGTGCGAGAGAGAAATAAATTACAAAAAGAATTTTTTACAGACCTTTATACAAGTCAAATTTCAACCTCATAGAGGAGTTTTAATTTGTAATTTTAAAGTTTTGATTGCATTCGCATCATATTATCAATGAAATGAAAAAAAAAAACGAATTTAGTTCAATATTATCGGGTTGGTGTTATGATTCGGTTGGTACCATTGAGATCTGCCCATATGTAAATGGGCACTACCTTTTGTGAAAGTGAAGCATGCCAAGTGATGCAATTTGGTGTAGTTTGCAATTATATAGATAATATATTTGTTTTTATATATTTATTTCTTTTTTAACACTAAAAAAAATTGGACCCTGAAACCATAAGGTCTATAGGTTAAGGAAAGTGTTATTTAGACACTTATTTTTACCTTTTACATATCTTTGTTAATTTTTTGGTTGTTGATCTTTTTTAATTCATTTGATACAACGGCCAGAAACTGAGAAAGTGTGTGAAAAGTAAAAATATGAGTGTGGATAACACTATCCTATATTAATATTTAGGACAATGTCACAGAGATCAAATTTTTAAACCAAATTTGCAAACCAAATGAGGTGTCACTAATTGAAAATAAATATGTTAATCAACACTTAACTAATAATCGAATCACCAACATCTATATCATTTGATTTACAAAATTTAATTTAAACATTTGATCTACTTAGTTGTACCCTAATATTTATATACCAACTCTCTTACTCAAGCTTAATCATAATGCATAAAATGGACATGTATATACACACACATACGCACACACTTGACATATTTACAGTTGAGGATCCAATGAATGAACAGAAGCATCCATATGCCTTGCATGTCACACTCTTCAACTTCTAACTTTATCTGCAGCACGATGAAGCAGCAAGACCAAAAACCTGGTGATGGGTGTGAACCCGTGGACTTCTAAACTTTGAATATACTGCTATGCCACTTATGAAGAAAAAAATCTTATTATTTTCATAGAGAGATGAGAAGACATATTTAGATCATTTTCAATGAAAATGTTACATATGAATTATCAAAATTTAAATTGAAAAAAAAAGTACTACAGTTTTATATTATATTACTCCCACTACTACAGTTTTTAAGGAAAAAAATAGTAATTTAAAGTTGTATCATGCTGGTGAATTATGGATCCCACACATTAAATAATAAAATTGACTTCATTGTTTTTGTTCGCTGGAAAAAACAAAAAAAAAAAAAAAAAAAAAAACTGTTGAAAAGTAAGGAGTCAAATTACTAAGCTATCATGTCAAGTATGGCATCTCCCTTCAAGAAAACCTTGATGTCTTTTAACTTTAGTTTACTTCTCTGACATCTTTTTTAAGATGCTCTTGAAAGATTAGAGTATTTTTAAAGAAGATGTTAAAATGTTCAAATAAGCAACGATAAAAAAAAAAGTAATAATGTTTTTTAATCGAGAAGTCAAATCTGATATGACATAACATGGAATGGAATGACATTTTTCCCATTTACTGCTAAATTTGGCAGCAACTTCAAATTTTTTATAATTAATTGTTAATTGCTTTTTTTTATTGATTTAAACCCTTGCCTTTAAATTTTTTTCATTACCAATGCACTGTTGAAGTATTTTTATACCTTTTAATTCATTTTCTTTCACTACCAATGCATAAAAAATAAATATAAATTTCTATTATATGTTTAAAATTGACAAATCAGATGGATAACAAAATTTTAAAATATGTCAAAGTGCCACATAAACTATCAAATTTAAATTTTATGTTTAAAATTTGACATCTTCTTTGAAGATGTTCTTATGACTTCAAACTGTGGATTAATAGTAGATTGGCATGCATCAGAAAAACCTAGTATTCCAAATCTTTTCTTTTTTAGATGGTACATAGAGATGATCTTTTAAAGTTAAAGAAGGGAAATTTCTTGACACTCCGCTCTAAAAAGTTGGAAAGGTGACACTTCGGTCCAATTTCTACAAAAAATATTTTAGCAAAATAGTTAACCATCTCGGCTTAAAACCGATTAGTGGGCTCCAATTACAACAAAGCAGAACCAATTAGTGAGCATTTGTTATTTGCCAATGTGCAGGGGATAATTTGGATTGCAAATTTTACTGCTCCTGAATGTACAATTCGTCCCATGTATGTACCTCAGTCCTTGTCTTTAATAAAAGGAAAAAGAAAAGGTATATTGGCCTCTAAAACGAGTACCTTTTTTTTTTTTTCTTCAGACATAATAATTAAGTCCAAAACAAAAGAGTCTAATCCATATTTTTGAAGTCTTTGATAAGTTTTCCTTTTTGTTTAATTTTCAAAAGATAAGTCATTTGGAGCATCTTAAAAAAAAATGTTAAAAATCTTACGTAGATTATTTTGATTTAAAAAAAAAATGTGATTGTCTAGTTTCAACAAAGATGTCAAAAGTTCTACAGGTGTACAATTTAATGATATTCCTCTTCATCGGTGAGTTACAGGTCTTTTGTTTAAACGTCATGAATAACAACTTCGATGTTAATTTCGGATAGTGTTATCCACACATTTATTTTTACTTCTCAAACAATCCTCTCAATTTCTGACCGTTGGATCGAATGAATTGAAGAAGATCGATGGTCAAAAATTAACATGGATGTGTGAAAAATAGAAATGAGTGTGTGAATGATGTTATCCTTAATTTATTCTCCCGCCCCGATCTTAGTGTTAATTTATCATTGTATAAAATCAAAACAAAAAGAGATTATAATAAATAGGGCCATGTGTAACATTAACACAAAAAAGTATGTAATTCTTCAGATTTCTAACATACTAGCATTTTGCTAAACGCTTGTGTCTTCTCCTTTTGTATGGTTGCACTAAATAATATTTGAAAATCCCAATTTTGGTTATTTATAATCACACACACACACACACACACACACACTCACACACACCAATTAAATAACTGAGATGCTGTATTATTTTTTTTCGTTTTTGTTTTTAACATAGCTATGTGAATTTTTGGAGTAATAAGTAATTGCCGTTGACTTATGGCATGAGGATCAAAGTGCACCCACACTCCTGATTCTACTGGGATGCAATATGATTACCAACTAGAAAACCTTACATTAGTTCAAATCATTACACTAACCGTACAAGAGAAGTTAAACTGTAAATCATATTGAATCATGAGGAGAAATAACCCTGCAGAAAATTTTCATGCGCATAATAGTATTGCTTTGAATCAACATGATCATTTAAATTTTAAATATTGACTGGTCCATGAATTTTTCTTAAGGAAATCAGATATTAGGCTACACTATGTGTAAATTAAATTCATGGAAACACAATTGTGTACTTGCATCCATGCCTATTACCTGCGATATGTTTAACACAATTTAATTAGATTGAAACCAGACGTGCTGATCTAAATTAACACAAATTAACATGTGCATTCATGGAGTGTGATGCATTATATATACAAATTACAAACAAATAAGATCTTGTACGCTTTAATCAATTATGTTATTAGGCGTAGTGTATGACCTTATTTTTGTTGGTTAGGTTTCGGTCAGGTGCATTCATAATTCAACAACTCCATATGTCTAGCATGTTGTATTAGTCTTCATTTCTTTTGTCAAGGTTGAGGTTAGGTGCTGCATATTGGAAATTTAAACAATTTCCAAGTCCAAATTGGGTCCACATGTCTAGTGTGAACTTTTGAACTAAAAGCATTAATGTTTGATAAATTATTTGGAAACAAGCAATAAGAGTTTGGAAAACACCAACTTCCAACTTTAAATTCAAATAAATAGATGTGATTTCTAAGATATTGACTATGTTTCAAGCCCAAAAGAGTTTAGGCAAAGTGAGAAAAAAATAGACTACAAAATATTAGTTAGAGAAGATTAGAAATCACTACTGAATGGAATTATTGACAAATCATTTATACATGTCTTTATAATGATCTTGTAATGCATTTGTGATCACGAACGGTCATTTTTAGATAGAACTTTGGAACACCAAAAACTTGAGAGATACTCTTGATTTTCAATTGAATAATATGTTAAGATGCGAAAAATACAATCCTAAAATTTACAAAAAACTAATGAAAAGGACTTGAAAACTTCGAGTTTTAATGATAAGGACAAAGTAAAGGGTAAAATGAATAGTACCATGATTGACTTTTTAGTGTAAAAATATAGGTTTTTCGTTAAATTAAACAGTACCGCGGGTTTTTCGTTAAAACTCCCTAAAATTTAATGAAATACTCTAAGCAAACCCTAGTTGCTAAAGAATTAAAAAAATTCCCAAAATAACTGTAAACCTTATAAACAGTTTTGACCTATTCAACATCATTGAAACGCCAAATCCACATTTAGACCGCTCGTCATTTCCTTTCTGAAAATGGATTTTTTGTCAGAAACGTATACCTAAACTCAAAATACACAATTTATTGCAAAATACTATTCACGCTGAAACACACTAATCACTAATCCCTCATGCCTTTGTAAATTGTAATGGTTATGCAATGCATTTCTAATCCTTTTTTGTAGTC